ATATAATATTTTTGGTAGTATCAGTTTTCTCTGTATTCTTCATCTACCCCCTCCACCAACTGCCCCATCAAAAGTAACCCATGTTATTAACCTGACATATGTACATCAACATACAGGGTTATATTATACACACTTCTCTGTCTCCTTATTCTCCATATACTTCAATACCTCAAAGGAAGTAGCCCCAAGTCAATTGGCAGAGACAAAAATAATTTTTAAAGGTTGCTAAATAGTACAAGGAACAGATGTACCATCCTTTATTCAACCATTCCCCTACTTTTGTGCGTTCACACTATTCTGTTGTCACTAATGACAACACTCCGTAAACACCTTTATACAGCTGTCCTTACATGGTATGCTTTTATTGGTATGGGACAGTACCACAGCAATGGATAGGTTTGAGGAATTTTTAGTTTTAGTAAATGCTACCATTTCATTCCACCAACCCTCCATGAGAAGTGTTATTGTTAGTATGATATGGGCTATGATGTCGTTGTATATTAAGTTGCATTTCCTTGATCACTAACACTGTTGAACATCTTTTCAGTTTACTGCTGGCCATTGGTTTTGCTTCTCTGTCAGCTGCCTATTTTTATCCTGTGCCTATTTTTCCTGAGTGTACCATTCATATTTTTCTTATTAACCAGTAAGATAGTTTCATATTATAAATATTAAACCTTTATCTGTCATCTGATTTGCAAATGTTTTCTAAATTACCTTCTGAATTTCTTTGTATCTTTTGTATAAGTTTCGCAATTTTTTATAATCAATCAAATCACCCTTTTATAATTTCTAGGTTTTTTGGTTTTATTTAAGGTGGTCTTCTTGACCATTTTCAGGTCTGATTCAACTAAACATTTAGACTTACACAGGCCACATTTGTCATCGCCCTACACAGGATAGGAACCACAGCTTTCTGAGAGGGCAGGGTGAGCCATTCTTCCTTCTCACATTCACACAGGTAGTAATTCAAGTGCAAAATAAGACTCCCATTGAGGCAGGGGCAGGATCTGTCCTGTCATAAAAGCCTCATGGACAACAGGAACCAAAATTTCTAACAGCTCCGTAGGTACAGCTTCGGGGTCCTCACGGGGACATGCGCAGTTCTAAGAATCACTGCACTCAGGGAAACTCAAAGCATGCCATCTCTCTTAGATCTCTAGGGTTTATTTATTCTTTCTCCCAGTGCACATGCAGTTTACCAATCAGGGGCATTTTTATCATAAGCAATGTGTCTAGAAACATCGTGGTACTCTCTGTCAGGTTATCAAGAAAATAATGCTAGAGAACTAACTGAAAATCAAATTCTAAAGTACAAGGGAAAATTTTTTTGTAAAGCTTCTGCTCAAATACATAAAGGTGTTTATATGTTGAGTTGTGGATTTTTTCTGTCACTCCAGCCTGGGCAATATAGCAAGACCCTGTCTCTAAAAATAATTTTTTTTTTTTTTAATTTGCCAGGCATGGTGTACAGGCACACCTGTAGTCCCAGCTACTTGGAAGGCAAAGGGGCAGGGGGAATTGCTTGAGGCCAGGACATTGAGACCAACCTGGGTGATACAGAGAGACCCAATGTCTTAAAAAAAACAAAAAAACAAAAAAACAACTTTTAATGACTTCCCATAATCCACTGAATAAAATTCAAACATCTAGTCTTTAATTCAAGGTCCACAATAGAGTACAAGACGATTTTTCAATTTTAATTTTCCACTATTTCACCTATGTACTCTGTGCTCCACCAAACTTGATTGACTATTCCATTCTCCAAACATACTTTGTACCTCTCTTGTAGTATTAACCATATTTTATTTTGATAGGTGTTTATGTTCATGGCTTACGTTTTCTACTACCAGGGCTCCAGATTTCTATATGAGAGGAGCTCAGGAGGTAGAATCAGTTTTGTTAGAAAGGGGAGAGGAGAAGAAAATCATCTTACAGCACATTTGCAGAGAGACTACACACTTTTGCATGTTTATTTTGGTTGGCTTTTAGAAGATTCACTAATGGAGCTTAAGTAGGTGTCTAAAAGCCCCTGTGATAGCCTGAAATCACTAGAAAACATTGTAAGACAAAAGTTGATGTTATGGAAGGGGTGCAATTCTAGGGAAGAAAAAGTGAGAGAAAAAAGGAAGTAAATCATGGAAGATGGGTATACAGATAGAAGAAGATTTGCAATCAAGCTGGTTACAGCTTTGGTCAGTCTCTCAGGATATCTCTACAGTCTGAAATCAGAGAGCCTTGGGAAGAAAGTGTGGGGGAGATTAGAGTAGGGAGGACGAACAAACAATCTGCTGGCTGCTTCTTGTCTCCTTTCTCTCCTTGGTTAAAGTCCATTCCAAGAGTTGATAACTCACGCCTACTTCGGGTTTCTGTACTAGCCCCTCCAAGCAACTGCTAAAAAAGCAAAACAGCACCCAAGGTCAGGTACCACAAGCACACAGGTGTGGTGATCTCTGCTTGTCAACTGGCACCCGTCCAGAGGCTCCTCAATTCGTGGCAGTGGTAGCATCAGCAGCAGACAACTGCATGAATGGCTTGAGCCTTTGCTAGGGTTTCTGCAGTCTCTCGAATCAATTCAAGGGGTTTCAGCCTCGAGGTGAGGGGTAGGAGTAAAGATGAAGCCAAACACATCTGCAGTGATGTATAAACTGGGTCTAAGATAGCCCCCAAAGTCACATCTTGTGTCCACCACTGCCTACCAAGTAATATGAGCCTTAAAGGAAAGAATCATGTTTTACTTATCTTTCATTCCATTTTTCTTTTTTTGGTTTAAATATTTTATATTCTATTTCTATTCTTTTAGTGGTAACCTGAAAGATTTTAACATGCATACATTTAAAAAACATAAATTAAGTCTATTTCACTATCTTTTTTAAAAGATACAAGAATCTCACAACACTTTCTTCTAACTTAGATGCTACTTTTATTGCATATTTGGGTTTTATTTGGGCTTACATTTTTTAACCCCACAAAACATTATTGTCTTCTACAGCCAAGGATGGTTAGATTCTCCCCACATATTTCCCACCTTCTTTCCTCTTCATTTTTTTGTAGCTCCTAACTACCATCTTGAATGGCTTTCTTTTTTCCTAAAGTACATCCTTTAGAATAAACTCTTAATCAATTTCTCTTTCTCTCTCTCTCTCCCTCCACTCTGTCAAAAAAAAAAAAAAAATGCCTATTTCACTTTTGCTTTTCAGGGATATTTTTACTGAGTATCTTTTTGGATTGACAGTCATCTTTTCTAAACACACTGAAAACATCATCCCTCTGAATGCTGGTTTCTCTTATTACTCTCATGTTAACCCTCTGTCTAGCTGTTGTTCCTTTGAAGGTAAACTGTCCATTCTCTCTGGCTACTATTAAGATCTTCCCTTTATTTTCAGTGTTCTACGACTTCATTATAATGGCCTACATTGATTTAGCTGTGGTTATGAAATTTCAAAGGGTACTTTCTCTCCTTCTCCCTCAAACCCAAGGTTGAAGACAGGCAGTTTTCTTTGCAGTCTCTTGGAGAGGACAATTTCTTCCTTTACCTTATATGAAGGGTATAGCACTTTGGAGTCCCAGCTTTATGTGAGTGAGTTTCCTACTAGATGCTCTACGTGGCTCTGGCTTTTTTTTTTACTCCTGCATTTTCTCAAAGCAATGAAAATCGATATGAAAGTTTTTCATGTTAGGCAAATGCTCTCAAGTCAAAAGCCACCTCCAGTACCCGATTTACCTTCAAGGTTCCCACTATCTCTTAGATTTTGGTCACTAAGTATTTAAAGATTGCTGATGTATTTTAAAAGATTTTGGTTTTCTTTAATATCATATCCTACATTTTAAGTTGT